GAGTTAGATGAATTTGTAAAATGAAGTTATAATAATAATAATAATAATAATAATAATACGTAATCAAGAGAATATGGAATTACTGAATGGTAAAGACGGTATGCTGCCATCGAATTATTAGAAACAATGTCAGTGAATTTTGGTCATGGGTTGACTATAAGATTTAGCAGTCAGTTTTTATACATTGCAGTAAGTCTGTGTGAATGGTACCACACGAAAACTCAGATATGTACGTGATACCTAAAGGCTGCGAGATATAACTTGGTATATAATGTGCAAAATACGTTAATAACATTCAATAAGCTATGCAATAATAATAATAATAGTTAAGAGAAGAGCACAAGTTAAGAAAAGAAAAAACACAGTTTGATTAATTCCTCTTAGTAACTAATCAACTTACAGAAAATGAGCAAGATCATCATCATCATCATCATCATCATCATCATCATCACATTAAGCACGTTTCAGTTGCACGACTTCACGCTGGCCGTGTTTAGATTGTTTTGACGCATTCATTACCAGGGCAGACATTTTTTCATTACAAGACAAACAACGTTTGTACAAAGACATACAGTCGAAATATTGTTTAACATTGTCAAAAACACTGTTTTTTCATTTCTTTTTTTTCTTAAATCGCGCACTTCTCTTAACTGTTGAAAAATATTGGAAGAGTTACGGCAACCATTTTGTTTAATAATAATAATAATAATAATAAAATTTCACGCATTTCCTATTTTAAATTTATGATGAATCCTAATTCTTAAGTCAATGATTAAATAAGCTCATGGCGAGTTCTACGACAATAAAATATCCGTAGAAATTTCTCTATCGCATCGTTAAATATTTGAGCTTAACAACTTGCAATAACAATCATAAATATGAATGTTGGTCGTTATTTTAAGAAGTAAGGGGGTACAAATGAAAAGATTTGAAATTGACAAGGTTTTCCATTATACTAAAATAGACTATAAACACTTCTATCTTCCCTTTCTTTCATTTTCTCGCTGAAGCCAAGTAGCGTCTTTGATATGTCTTTTGTCTTCTCATGCAATCAAAACAGAACAGTTCATTATTTGTGAGGTACGAGCAGGAGACGTTAAACATTTCTTTCTTTCTTTTTTCGCTGAATCGAAGTAGCGTCTCTGATATGTCTTTTTTCCTCGCGATCAAAACGGAATCGTCCATTATTTATGACGTATTGGCAGGGTGTAACGGTCGTGCGAACTAACAAAGGGACTGGCATACAAATATAATAGGATAATAATGACTGAAAATTAGGATAAGAGTCAAGACCATCCAGACAACTAGAATACTAAGAAAAGAGCAGCAGTATGAAGAAGATTTGCTGATATTAAATCTTGGGTATAGGCCAATAGTTTGTAATTGTGTCTACAGTCGATGTGTGAGAAAATAATACAAGTATTATTGGAGAAACATCTGGAATATCAGGAATAAAGTTTAAGAAAGGGGAAGATGACGATTAATTAAATAAGCAAAGATTGGAAGGAAAGCTTGGCAGCTAAAATTCCGTTGAGATTCAAAGGAAACATAAAATATAGAATTAGAAAAAAACGCAAATAAGCAAAGGATTTTAGTCATCTTAATCTTGACCTTCGAGCTCACGATCTCTGTATTCATCGAATTACTCATGTTATGGTCCAGGTCCTTGTACCCCGGTGATGGTCCAAGGTAGAACCAATAAAGAAGAACTCGAACAGGGATATGGAACAACACAGATATATTACAAACAGGAATATATACAGAGAAGTAGAAAGTGTTAGTACGAACAATCAGGTTTAGTAGTAATTGTCTGAACGCGACTCTGTTTCGGACTGCCTCTGACTCGACTGATTGACTCGCTCTGACTGACAGTCTCCTGACGGACTTCACTCCAGAATTCAGACTGAACGGTATTTAGTCACCTCCGCCCCCAACGAGGGCATCATGTGGCACAAGGACGGTTTAACGTGGGATCTCCGAGCCCGTGGTCTCGGCCAAAAAATATGTCCGTTGAACCCGTATAAACGGGTTCAGGGTCGGTTTACCTCCCCGAAAGAGACTCCGCCCTTCGGCGTAGCCTCGTTCGGGTTCCTCCCCGCCCGAAGGCAGAGAGTTCAACCGACCAGCCGGTCGCCCGACTTCAGGCTGGACTCCCTGCTTCCTCTTGAGGCGCAGTATTTATTAGGTATGGAATAGTCCATTATTTTATTATGGGTAAGGTCCCATAACAACTCCACAGAGTCTTTCCTTCCAGATGCAACAAATTCAACGTTGCAAGTCTGTCACAGCTGTATAGCTATTTCCATCGCAAATATTCAGATCAGACCCATTCTATAGTTCCACCAGTTCATCTCTTTAAGGTTAGGAATCACCATGCCACTTCCATAGAGTCGAATCTTCCTCGTTTTCCCCCTTTACTAAATATAAGAAGAAAGTTCCTTTCAAACAGCTTTCTCCCAAGAACTTCTACTCTGTGGAACAGGCTTGGATGTTGCACAATCTTAACTTCAAATGAATAATCGATCATTATCCCTATCATCATGATCTTCACTTTCTACCACATTCACTTTTGTTCATATCATACTCCTCATTCATCATTAATCTTTTAACAGTAACCATCTACTTTGATTGGGTATCGAGCCCTGTATTGGCTGAACCATAATATTAAAAAAGGATGCTTCACAATAGAAAAGTAGATAGAAAGCTTTCTAACAGACTGTTACTATTGAAATGAGCTTGATCCTCACTAGGTGCCTTAAACGTGTTCGATTTTTGCTTGCGTGTGTGCTTGTGAAAGAGAAAGAGCTAGAGATTTCGCGCTAAGAAACAGGTCATTATTCTGTTGCTATTTTCAGAGTAAATGTTCAGATGAGCGCCATTCTTTAGTTCCACCAGTTCAGACATTTACAGCTAGGACATACTACGCCATTTCCATCGACTTCATTTCCTCCGTATTCCAAATGTAAAGCGAAACAGACAGCTTTATTTTCAAGAACTGCTACTTTGTGAAATAGACCCCCGCGAGGATGCTTTCGTGAAATCTACAATATTAATCTCTTCAAGTCAAGGGTCAATCATTATCTGTCCCCACTATTCTCATAATCTTCACTTCTTGTCACCTCTTTAATTCATAGCACACATTTCATTCATCAAAACAATTTTAACAGTAACCCTCTACCTTGTGTGTCCATAACAATGTAACTTGGTAGATATTGTCGTTTTTAAATTTCAAGGCGACGAAAATGGTGTATGTTATTCTAATGCTTATTAATTTTCCCAGTCAGGAATATTTGTCGAGAGGCCAGATGTGACCTCGAATTGAATAGATTAAAGCATGTGCTTTTGATTCCGTTTCTGATGTTAGCCAAATATGTTTTAGTTTTGGAGCAATGGCTCTGAATGAAATGGGCTAAAATCAAAGCAAAGGATTTGGTCCTTTAACCCTGACTTTAAACAATTGAAAACTGAGTTATCTTGGCGTGTGAACAGTTTGATATATGGCGCGGAGAATTATGAATAAATTCAGCTCGATTTTGAGAATACACGGGAGACGGGACGAGACGACAGAAGTAGACGAGTCGACAGACACACACGTAGTTGCACACCCACACGAGGAAGGGGGTCCAATATTCACTTTAATTTCTGATTGAACCTTGCTGAACACACAGATGAAGATTCAAAATTGCTGCCTCATGATCTTTCTGGATTAACTGATGCCAAATATATCCGATTGTAAATTATTTTATTCACCTTCATTAAATCGTCTATATTTAACCAAAAACCGGCATTATTACTTCTTCGGTGAGAGCTTGACGATATTTCTTCAGTAAGAATCACAACACTTGAAGAACCAAAACTGGACGATCGACGACTTATACTGGCACCAATCCTTAAACCAGTCTAACTCCATAGACGTGCGAAGACTGAGATATTGGAACAAGCGGGGTCCGAACTCATCGGATTCACGTCGGCAGAAAGCGAGACTAGACCAACAGGTCCTAGGAAACGTGTACGAGAAGAGTGGTGGCTATATGTCTCTTGAAGCATGTATTGGATGAACTTTATCTCTTTCTCTTTCCATCTTACTATGCGCAAGCAACGTGAAGGCATGTGTTTATGCGTGTATGCATGCATCTATGTATGTATATGTGTATATTTAGTTCAGTTATTGCCACGGCGTGGAGGAGGTGGGTAAATAGCCTAGGGAATTAAACTAACTCTTTAATTAATGTAATCAAACTGATTACATAGTCATTGTGAGTTCAAACACTGAGACCAGGTAGTGCCAACTTAGACTCAATCGAAACATGGCGAACAATAACTGAGCAATGCTTAATAAGAAGTAGACGAGATATCTCTAGACATGGTCAGCAGAGCGGGAAAAGTTTCTGCCTGTGGATTAAATAAAGGGTTCGAAATTCCCCGAAGGATACTCGGATCGACTAGCACCTGATGAAGGTCGGAGAGCATAACGGCTGAAACGTAATAATAACAAAAAAGATGACGAAAATAGTCCGGATGCAAATAATGTAAAGAGGTGCGTATTCCCAACTATTTGATCTCAGATGAAAAGACAGGATTTCAAATATTTAGTTTAGTGCCTTTAATCAAAATTCCTCTCGTCATAGACTTCTCGATATTGTTCATATCTGCTCAGTTTTGTATCAAGACGTAAACAAAGTAAGTTTCTAAAGAAGTAATGGATTTTTATTTATTAATCCAACATATTTTGTCACTTTAAGAGTTATTGTTTAGGGATTATTCCTGTTTGAGTAGACGCTCCGTTTATTTATTAAACAGTATATCTAATTGTTTTCGTCTACCGGCTAGAATATTCGAGAGATTTTATTAAAGAAAAAATATGCCCTTTCAGGATTCGAACCTGCATACCCCTGTTATTACATCTGACGTGTTTTAGACCACATTTTTCTTTAATTAAATTTCTCGAAGAATCAATATAGACGAAAATCCGACGGAATGGTAAAGATTTCCAAACTGTGTTAGTGATATATATATATATATATATATATATATATATATATAGATAGATAGATAGATAGATAGATAGATAGATAGAGAGAGAGAGAAATAGAGATAGATAGATAGATAGATAGATGGAGAGAGAGAGAGAGAAAGAAAGAGAGAGAAACAGACAGAGAGCTTATTTTTCATACTTTAGAAAATTCACCTGACCTGATAAGAGGAACACCGAACAAGGACTGAACTATGCGTATTTCATATTCATATTCACTCCTTTAATTTCAAAGAATTCTGAGTTGGACAGATAGACAAGCAGCAAATTACAGTCTTTACAAGAGTTGCTCTACGGAATACAAATCGGCAATGTTTTTAATAAGTTATGACAAAGCTAACCGCCACTTTGCACAAATATATCGACGAAGCTCATCAAACGTGATAATAGCTCGTTGGAAACTGATCTCAAGAAATGCAGGTGGATGCACAAATAAACCCAGATCAGGGCAAAGAGGCAAGTCACCTTTGTTCGGCTGCCATGACACGGGCAAATGGTTGTATGCAATATATGAAAATGCCTCGGTAGTTGCTGGGAATCAGTGACAAAGCCCGTTTGTGTTGTGGAGAAAAGACGAGGAAATTAGAATGCTGGGATTGGAACGACACACTGGGAAGCTGTTGATGGCGGAGAAAAAGATGGCGTTCACTTTGGAGATGGGAAAGAAACGAAAGAATGTCGGCAGGGAAGAAAGAAAGTGAATTGCTATGAGGGTTAAGAGGGAAAATAGAACAATTGCTTTAAGCTAAAAATGTGATTCATAATCAACATCACCGTGTGTGTGTGTGTGTGTCCTTGTGTGTGTCTGTGTCCGTGTGTGTGTGTGTGTGTGTGTGTGTGTATTCAGTGTTTTCTTTAGCATTACAAAAGGAAATGCATTAATTGCATTAGCATCATAGGAAAATGCTCGCTTAATTTTAATGCAAGCTTTTAATTGAATTCGGAAAATGCTAATTAAAGACAATTTTGAATTTATCAATAAGCGCAAAAGTAATTTACTAAGCGTTGCTTAGACATGGCACAAGGCCCAAAGTATGGAGCACCACCTTCGTGAGGAGCGAACTCACTACTAAAACGCAACTGAACTAGAGACACAAGCTTGTGAACCATTACATCACGTCAAAGTGCCCAAAGCTATAGCCGAATAGGCAAAATCCTAATTGCGATTGCTGAGGGACGATGCAGGTAAAATATCGATTCGGGTGCTAAAAAAATAAATAAATAAATAAAATAAACAGAAAATAACCGTACGTTAATTCTTTTATAATGATATAAAAAAAATAAAGTGTGAAAATCTATATTCATTTTTAAAAGGCATTTTAAATTAAGCATATATTTGACGCTCATATTTATACAGAAACATGAGAATCTTCAACGAACAGCCATTTTTAAACAAAAAAACTTATTCAAACATTTGAAGAATATTTTATTGTGCAATTTAAAATTGAATGTTTTGTTTTGTTTCACTATATATCAAACTTTTCCACGTTATTTAATTCCGAAAGCTGTCGAACAATAAAGATATATTCATGTACGTGAGTCTAGAAGCTAGACAGAGATTTGGTTTGAACGAGAGCCAAAAAATTAGACATATGTAGAGAGGCGCTTCATTTTGTGAGTGTTATCCCTTCTGCACGGGGATAGAATCGGCGTATTTTTATCCCAAATGACAGAACGTAAATTTGAGTGGAAATATCATTCTTGAGACCATATTATTTGATGTTAGGTGAATTCACTGTTCATAAATAATGAATATGAATTTTTCTGCTGTTTTCAATAGACACCCGAAGCTTAGAACAATCAAAGAAAGATCATCTTATACTTATCTGTCACTTTTTTCTATGAACTTCTTTAAGGAACAACTTTCTTCTGGCTCTTTTGTCATAATGACACATGTAATGAAGTTGTGCCCTAATGACCCATAATATTCTAACTGTCTCTCAGATACAACAAAGGTAAAATGTTTCTTTTGACGGGGTGTGTACTCGCCACTGGAATTCTCTCACATGGTGTATTCTCTCGGCCGACACCGCAAAGGTTAGTGGCAGTTCGTCTGTCAAACGATCACATACTGACTACTGAGCTCGGCTTTTATAGATCGCAAAGCAAGCTTCACGCACGTGATCAATATTCCTAAATACGCTAGTTCCAGCGTGTACTCACTTTCTCCCAAATCGAAGTCTCGCATGCCAGACAAAGACGAACTCTCTTTCGTTGAGAATAAGGTAAGTCCTGTTCCGCTATTTGACTCCGGTTCTGGTTCACTATGTCTGCTACATCACCCCCCGGCCCCACATCTGGTCTCATGATCATACAAATAACAGTGCGGATGCGGTCTTTTGTTTTGGGTGCTCCTCCGAAGGGGGATTGTCTGAACTTCTTTCTCGGAGAAGCTCTCAGAATAGTTGTCAAAGTTGGTAGTTGGGTTCTGAGGTGAATCATCGATCTCACGTGATATGGGCTCAATCCGCAACTCGCTTTTCATTCTCATCGTCATTCGCCAATGGGGTTGTTTCGAGGGCCGGATAGGGCAGGACAAGGTGGAGATCCCTCACATGGTACGGATTCCAATATGGAATGCTCACTGACGATATCGGTGACACGCCGTTTTTTGAAGTTGGTGGTACAACGGTTATTGGGAGGCTTTACCCAGACAGGCTCCCACATCCTGTGTGTTCCGCGCACTTCTCTTCGATCAGAAAGATACACGCCGTCGATCCCTTCGACACGTACTTGGTAGCTGTAGATATAGACACATCGTCTTTTGGTGTTGTTTTGTATCTGTACACAGCTCCCATGACTGTACACTGTTTTCAGGCGGCGATCCTCTTTACACTTCGGTGGCACCTTTCCGCTATACCATTGCCACTTGGTACATGCGCTCATCGCAGTCGAAACTCGATCCCCGATTCATCCAGGAAGCATTCGAAATGTCTGCTGCAGAAGGTAGTATCGTTGTCAGTAAGGATTTCCTTTAGTGCTCCTTATTCATAAAACACCGATTCTAATTGGCGGATGATACTGGAAGAGTCCTACCGCAGCAATGGTCGCTAGGCTGAACATTTGTCCGCAATCTATAGGCGTGAAGAAACGCTGGCCATCGTAATGGGTTATAACCCCGAAATAGCTTGTCAGATACAACAAAGATGAAGGGTCTCATTTGACGAGGCGACGTACTTGCCACTGGAATTCTCTCACATGGTGTATTCTCTCGGGTGACACCGTAAGCCTAGTAGAAGTTCGACTGTCAAAGATCAAGATTTATTGTATATGAAATACAATTTTGGCACAAGGCCTGAAAATGGGGAATGGGTTGTGGCTGGTCGATATTATCTATCACATACCCAACTAATCAGATTCACAACCCACTCATTCATTAAATAAAAACAAACTCTATGGTTTCTATTTGGTATATTCAAATTACCTGCACCCCTACACTAGTCCTGGGTATATCCGACAGCAAAGCCTCTAATCGAGACGTTGAAGGTTTTAGGGGCGTGGAATCACCTCTTAATTGCTGTTGCATCCAGGTTCACCTAAACCTAGGGTGGTAGTACCTGTTAGGGTCTCAGATATGGGCAAACAGTGACCCCCCCAAAAAAAAAACAAAAAGAAAACACCATAAAATTATAAAAATACATAATTATATTAAAATTACTAACAATACAATTTTAATGCAAAATGGTCAGCAATATATTTTATAGTAGAATTGCCAACAATACATTTTATATACAAAATGACCAACAATACATTTTATCTCTAGTTGAAGGCATAAAATTGCCCTAAAAATATTTAGTTGAAGACATTAAATTGTGTTCAAAATATTTAGATTTCGGCATTAAATAACCCATAGAGATGTTGACATGTCGTTAAACAAAATCAACCTCTACCCTCTACACTGGCGCTTTGGGATCATTATTAAGACCAACATATGGATTTCTGGATTTGACCGCGGGTAACTGAAACAGAGACCTAATTCTATCCTTAAGCCTCTCCCACCACCTATTTCCAATAATCTCCCCCACTAGTTCCGACTTCTCTAAGGTAATTAGCTGTTGCTGGAAGTTCGACATGTCCAATAACGAGAGAATGAAATTCAAGTGTCCAGCCATTCTTAGCTTACAATCTAACGCCACCCGGGCACAGACAAGTCTGTAGTTCGATAACCTAACCAGTGGAACGTGGGACAATCTAGTAGATATATGTCGGTCCTTCTAGCATTCTATCCAGGTAGCTAGCAACCTTGATAGACGGCCACTTAAGTGCCCATGTCCACATTTCCCATTTTGGGTGATCGACAAACCAAACTCGCCAATCAGATCAACTAAACTACGATCGCCCGATCTCCCACTAGCTCCCGACCCCTGTCTAACGTGGGGTCCAGGACGGCATTCCAGTCCCCCATTAAGACTAAGTGCGTTGAATTTAAAAGCTGCCGAAAAAACGAGACACGCCCCCCCCCCGGTCGTTGGCCGCATAAATCGCAACGATCCGCGACGAACTACTTTTCACCGCAATATCGGCCACGATCAACCGGCCCCCGGTATCCACATGGACAAGGTCTATAGTTGCATACAGGGTTCGCTTAACCAGCAAAGAAGCACCTTTGGACAGTCGGTCCCCATATGATGAATAGACGACAAAGTCGTTAGACAGCACACAAGCATCAACGTTGCAAGCAAAGTGAGTTACCCGGATCGCGACGACATCCACATGCTGGCTATCGTGATAGACATTTTTTAAGTCTGAAAAAGAGAGACCCCCCCGCCAAAAAAAAAAACAACCAACCTATTCACATACATGGCGGAAATCTGCAGGAGTAACGTACACGATTGTCCTAGGTTTCCTGTGCCCAACTCTAACGTCATCCGTCCATATAGGACAATACCGCCAACGTCCATAGGATACGAAGAAGTGAATACGAAGAACTTAGAAGTGAATTAGTAAGGTGGGTAGCTGTTGAACTGAGTGAAGAGGTGGAGAGAGAGGGGGGAGGAGCCCGGGTAGGTGAAGTGGGAAGGCTCCTTGCTTTTGGAGCAGGGACGGATAGAGATCTGGTTTTCTCCATGCTTCTCCCCGTTCTACTTCGACGTCCGTTTATCCGCTGTTTTGTTTTAACTTCCTTCTATTCTTCCTCCTTGGTCCTCTTCAAAGATGAAGAGCCAGGTGGAGGCATTTCCTCCAACTCCATCTCCAATTCAGGTCGCTGCTGCTGCTGCTTTTTGGGTCGTTGTTGCTGCTTTTGCTGCTTCTGTTGCTGCTGTGGTGATGGTTATTGCTTCAACGGCGGTGGCATGTCTTGCTGTTGATGAGAGGGCGGGCTTGTCGTCTTCCGTCTTCTCGTCACCTCTTTCCAAACACCGTCGTGGTCTTTTCGGTTACTGCTGCTACTACTGCTGCTGCTATTGTTGTCGTCGGTTGTGATGCTGTCCTCACACTCCTCCAGAAGCACACCTTCGACAAGTGCCTTGAGGCACCATACGACCAACAGAATTGTCGGCGTCCTTCTATCATAACCAGCATTCTTTTTTCTCAATACATGAGAAAGTTAGGAATCTCGCTAAAGCTCTGGCGTGTCATTGTTACCTGGAGAACAAAGTCCCCAGTGGCGATGCCGGATTTGTTGATCACCACACTGACATTCTCAACTTTCTCGTATTTGGCAAAAAAGGCCCCGGTTCTGCCCTCCTCTATCTGGTTTCTTGCTTGGTAACCAGGAGAATGTTCCACATTGCGTTCGATCTGGCTAGCATCTTTGGTTCAATGTTCAAGTTCTTAAGGGCCTCTTCCATGGTTTCCCTACAGACCACAATTTCCGACTCTTCACGTCGGTGGTCAGCAAGGAGATTGTCCATGTATTAACGGCGTCCAACGCCTCCGGGATTGTGAGGAACTCATTTCCCTTAATGAATTCTTCGTACTTGTTCCTTAGTTCGGCATAGAAAACCGCGTCTTTCTTCCTCGACCTGTTTTCAGCCCAGGCCATTTTTCTTTACTTTTTCGGGCATCGGCGCTGTTTCATCAGTGTCACTCATTGACAGCAATAATTTAGTGCTGCCGATATAATTTTCTTTTTTCTTTTCTTTTCTAATTTCAAATGAAACGAAACTAAAGAAAAACGGACTAGAGTCGCAGGTGTAATAGATACAAATGGCCAGAAAAAATATACATAAGATGTACTAGGGTAACTTTAAAAAAAAGAGGTGGTACAGTCATATGTCATCTTTTAAGTTAGAAAGTTTTAGAAATTCTACTAAACTAGCGTAGAAATTTAAGGAAAAAATAAAGGTTCGATTGTAAACTGGAAAATTTCAAAATTAAAAAAAGCAAAACCTTACAGCATCTTCAACCTTTGTCAACAAGAAAAATTAGATATAATAAAATTTCCAAATCAAAAAACATCTTTTGAATAAGTGATCGGAAATTATGACCCGTTGTATACACACTAAAAAGTTCCTTTTGAGTTCATATGAAGTGGGATGAAAAGAAAATATGTATATTTCATTTAATCCTCCACCGATACATTTGCAGTACATTTGCTTTTCTATTCCTCTTCCTTATCCCCACCTTCTACCACACCTCATTTATGCACTTATTCATTTATTTATTTAAAAACTATAGCGTTCATAATTTTTTTATTAAAAAAAAAATAAAGCCTTAGGATATGAAATGACCGAAATATATATATATATATATATATATATATATATATATATATATATATATATATATATATAGTAGCTGGTCACTCGTATTCGAGGATAGCCGTCTATTAGGGCGACTAGCTAATTCCTATTGCAGACCCCCGCTCAGGCACTTTTCTTCGTCCAGACCGAAATCAACCCGGGTTTAATGATCAGAAAGCGAACGTTCGGCCATATATATATATAACTCAGACAGAAAGAGAGAACAGATTGTGTAGGATTCATTAAATGAGACGTAGATAGAAATAGCTTAAGGATCCGACAAAGTACAAACCAATTTTTTTCTCAGTGCCACAAAATTAAATCATTTTAGTGTTGAAGTAGCTAGATGTAACCGTAAGTTCTATGCTAACAGATCCTTCTCTTGCCCTTCACCCACGTGTAACACTCTTCCGATTTCTTGCTTCCCTGCCACTTACAATCTTCAAAAATCGAAATACAACGCCAATCGCCATCTGTCTTCCCGACTTATGTTTTAATTTTATTGTCCTTTCTTTTCACTAAAGTTTTATCATTGTTTTTCACTCCCAGGAAGCCTGTTGCGTCTTAGTGACCTTATCGCCTTGCTGGGAGTGAAATGATTAAAAATTAATAATAATAATAATAATAATAAGATCAATGCCGTCTGGGAGGGCCTAAAAGACGATAATATGAAGGAGTCAAGTCATGATTATGCGGCTGGTGCGGTAAAATATCCCAACTATATCGCTGTTGCCACTCTCTTCTCAGGCTGATCGAGGCGTTATCGCGGTGCAGGATGTCACTCTTACGCAAGCATAGTGGCTGCTTTCGACTAAAAGCTCTCGTCTTTCTGTTGGCTATTTCAAAGTATCTCACTGCGTTCATTGTCTGGCCATGCTGTGTGAAGTCCACTTTCTGCATCCCAGAACATCAATTACTTCGCTGACCACTGAACTTTGAATATTTGGCGGATAGAAGGCGATCGATGCTTTCCGGTCAGGGAATTTGCTTTATTTTATATTGGCTTTTTCTTTTTTTTCGTAATTTTAGTAATTGAAGCCATAACAGCTTTATGTGTCGCTTTTAGACATTTTTTGTATCCCAGACATCTACCTTTTCGTAGAAAGGGAAAT